ACAGCCCAGAGACAGTACACTGCAGTACAAAAGATGTGTACACTTCTGAAATAACTTTCCTTGCATTACATCCTTGGATTTTACAAGCAAAGTTTTAATATTCCGACTTTAGCTTACAATATTTGTTATTGTTTAGATAAAACTAGACTCAATACGTCACACATGTACACAATAGTATTCCACCCTTTCCTTCACCTTAGTTCTATTCACATTGCCTTGATTGAACTTGAATGCAGAATATTCAGAAAAATAGTTTAGGCAAGACGAAGCGATACACACTTTTCCCTCACCTATGCATTAAACTTGTTTTACAGCCCTGGAAAGCCTGTCAAACTAGACCTAAAGGACAAAATTTGAACTTAAAAATGAAATGCATAATTATCTGCAACCTATGTTTGCATGCATCCCACACAATAAATTATTGCAACAAGGTAAAGGGACCGAATTTAATTAATTCAAATTGCCTACTTTGAATTTGAATCACAAATCTAAATCTTTCCTAAATCTCTAACTTTGAATAGGTGGTTCAAATTTAAACCAGCAGTAGGTAGTTTACTGACGTAGCTCAGTTGTTTGCGCCATTTCAGCGAAGTTTCTTTTTGGGGAATCTAGTGTCGCTCAAGTGTAATACAGTTTAACCCAAAACTTAGGAGATATCGAAAGAATTTATAAAATATCGTCTTGACAAATTTTTCAATGGGTATTATACAATTATACCTAAATCTCATTATTTATAAAAACAAATAAATAGCCATAAATATGCGGAAACAGTTTAAAAGAGCTCCAGCTCCAGCTCCAGCATATATGGAGAATTCAATAATCAGTAGGTTAATTTAGAAAACAAATTTCCTCGATGTCTCCAAAGTTTTGGGCGGAGTGGGATTCCTGTTGTGTGCAATGTCCCGTAAAATTCCAAAACAGAGAGAGGGGGATTGAATTTTGTCCTAACCGCAGCGCTCGGCCCAGAAAGTGTCATAACTTGGCCGCAGCGCTCGGCCCCCTAGCCTGTCCTAGCCGCAGCGCTCGGCCCAGAAAGTGTCTTAACCTAACCTAACCCTAAATAAATACTAATTTTTTTATCTTTCTGGAACTACAAAATTCAATCCCCCTCTCTCTGTTTTGGAATTTCACGGGACATTGCGCACACCAGGAATCCCACTCCGCCAAAGTTCTGGGCTAAAGTGTAGGTATGGTAATAAAGTTTTTTCTCACACATTTTACGAATTAGGTCTGCTTGGTGGAACTATACATAGTTATATAGAAAACTGGAAACAAAGGTTCCCTAAAGTTGGTTTGCTTTTACCTTTAACCAGCCTGAGTAGTTCTAATGAATCAGAATAAATATTCAACAGAGACCTTAAACTCCCCACCTTACATCCATAGGGCTGGGCACGTTCCAACTTTTTCTAGCCGTTAACGGTATATTACACTACTATTAACGGTGTTAACGGCGGACAAATTTCTGTTAACAATTAAAAAAATTGTTAACGGCACAGCCATTAACGGCGTTAATGGCAAAAAAATTCTTTAAGGGTTTATAAATACGGAAGAGGACATTTAAAAACACCCTTTTTAGCTTTTTAAATAACATTTTGAACTGTTATTTTTTCTTAAATGGCTAATCCGTTTCGTTAACAATCTAAAAATTAACGATTTTTGCTGATCGTAAACGGACTCTTCCGTTAATTTTCGAAAGCCTACGTTTCGTTAACGGAACTTTGCCAGCCCTGTACATACACACAATACGTATGAAATGTCTTTCTAAAGTGTTTCATCCTCTTCCATTAATGCGAGGGTTTCCATTTTTTTCGGACCAACTTGGACCCGTAAAGCACACTTAATTGCCGCTTTATTAATTGTAAATTCAATCATTTGCAGACCGCGTCAGTTTAGTTATACCAGCTGTTAACACGGTGAATGAACGGGCGGAGCAGTACAAACTAATATTTCAATGTACATGAGTTGAGTGTGAATGGCCTGTTAAGAATTATGAACCCTTAAAAACTCATGGAAATTAATGGCAGAAACTTGTTTAACCGGATAAATAATAAATCTACCTCCTAGACGCCTTACAAGATACAAAGCTGCAGGTGTGACCTGTTAAAAAAGTGTACGGGACGTTATTCTGGATCAATTATTGCCATATACAATTTTCGTCCCTTTAACTTTTTTCAAAATATCACACCAAGCTCTGTGTATTACATAAGATATATATACTTCGTTTCAAAATCAGTTAAAAAATATTTCCAAAAGTTTTTTTATGGTTTGTAGTTCTTAACAGCTTCCGGAAAGGTTCCGTAAGACATTACGGGTCCAAATCAAGGAGTATGAAATAGAAGGGAAATACATCTGACGCGACCCGCCCTACCATATGATTATACCTGCTTTGCAGACGGTGCTCCATTTGTATAAGAAATATTTACAATAGGTTATTGTATACGTGGTAAGTGTACAAGAGACAAATATTTCCTATACAAATGAAGTACCGTCTGCAAAGCATGTATAATCATATGATAGAGCGGGCCGCGTCAGTTGTAACTTGTATCTTCCTTCTACTCCAAACTTCTTGGTCCAAACATTGAAAACCCTAATAATGCTGTTTCTCGTGAGGGGAAGAGAGAATAATTTTCGGGAACAATCCTTTAATTTTCTTTATCAAGATGTGAATTCAAGGAACAGAATAAGTGTAGTTAATTATAAAAAAAGGTAAACTGCATGTTATCGCTAACTGCATCTGACATGTACTCGATCAGAGAGGCATTAATCCACAAGAACTCCGAGGTTGCGTGATTCAATTAAATTAATAAAATACAATATATGTAGTTGATAACTGTCGAGAGTGTAATATAATCTAGTTAACATCTACCTGTGCAGTTTACTACAATGTTTATACTTCTTCTACTAGGAATATATCGTATTGTATTATCTTGTCATATTCATCGATATTTTTCTATTATTATTTATAAAATTACGTTCGCTACATCACTAAAATCCAATTTATTCATAAATATAAAGTGTTTATCTCTGTTTGTCTCTTTGTTTGTCCGATCAAAACTTAAAAACCCTTGGACCGATTTGCCTCAAATTTTGATCGGGGGAACTTGCAACATATATCTATAATGTTGTTAAAACATATTCGAACATCCTACTGATGTAGGTGTTTGATCTGACGGATATCTTATACCATTCCTTGAGACATATAGCATAGCATCTACGTGTATACTTACGTAACAAAAATGGTGTTGAAGGGCTGTAAGCGCTATAGAAAGTGACCCTCAAAGCAAAAATGGCAATGCCAGATTTACAACGGTACCATTGAAAGCACTGTCTGATCAAGTATGCATTTATAGATATATCACGTCCCACAGGTGTACATTTAAACATCCGAGCTAGGCCAACCTTTACAGTCCTACTTTGGACTGTACTGCCAATTTACAATTACTAAAGCAGCAGAGGAGTGTGATAAATGATTTGTTTGTTTAAAATGCTTATTTTCATTTGCGGTTTCTCTGCGAAAGTGACTTGCGCTGCAGTATTTGTTTAATTATGGGAAGCAATAGAGAAACTCAGAGAAATAATTTTTTTCAAGTGAGAAAAATGACAGTTTCTTCCACATTTTTTATCAGACTAAGGGTATCGTTGTAACTCGTGTATTTTCATCTTAGTATTAAGGGTCGTTTGAAATTACGCTAACATCAGTCCCTGTCAGACAAAGAAAATTTAGCAAAATATGTAAAATATGTAAAATATGTTTACTTTTAAATTATTTTTATTTTAATAATTTTATAAAACACTTTTCACTTCAAACAAATATGTATATTCAATAAAGGAATTTCATTGCCACAACACAAATTCTGATTTTCTAACACCTATGCATTGCAATCCAATGTCGTTGACATTAGATATTTCAAACTATAAATTCTGTTATAACAAATAGTTTAAGCTTGCAATATCTAAGGTTTACATCATCAAGTTGCAAAGATAAAGGAATTAGAAAATTTAAGTTTGTGACAAATACTCAATTCCTTTATTTCAGAATAAAAATACATCTTTTTTGCCTTCAGACGAAAATACCAACAAGTTTTAAATTTGAGCAAATTTTCCTACTTATCTTCCTGAAAACCTTTTTTGTCATCAAATTGAATGACATTTTTGTAAAGTCACAAATTTGGTTATTTTTTTCCTGCATGACCATGAATGGTTTATGGCCGCCGATGAATTGCATAAAAAGGAAGTGAAAAAAATCCCCACCCAACAAAAAGGAACAAAAATCTAAGATTCTTATAAAAAAACGCGTTTTAAGCCTTTTTTTGTAAATGATGAAATGATTTTTATCTGCTCAAATAAATATTTCGATAAAGAATCAGAGAACTGAATAAAATTATAGTCGTAGGTTTCAATAAAAATATTTTTTTTTAAACCTCGAATCTCTGTTTAATGCACTTTAGTATCTAAAATGTGCATTAATTTGAAGGAGTTTTGGTGGGATCCAGGAAGACTTGAAAGTTTTTTTTCACAGTGGTTTTAATCTTGTATTTTACAGCAGAGATCGTTGGTATTCATGACCCACATTATGCATTACCACAACATTATACAACCAGCTTTATTCAGTCTTACTAACTCCCCCCCCCTTTTTTTCTAAACTTAAAATATTTCATCCTCTTTCTCAATGGAAATGTTCTTTGTTTCAAACTTTACAATACAATTTATTTTCAAACTTTACAATACAATTTATTTTCAAACTTTACAATACAATTTATTTTCAAACTTTACAATACAATTTCCATCATCGGCCAAATTGCAGAGAATACATGTATGCATAGAGTGAGTTAAATCACATTAAGTTTTATTTTCAACTTTTTGCTACAAACTCAAATTTGCTAATCCCTATATCTTTCCAACCCGATGGTTTGAACCTTTGATATTTCAAACTTTGATTATTTGATTTAGCAGAATTCATTGTTTGAAATATAAAAGGTTTGGTTTCAAATATAGGGACAAGAATTTCTTTTTCAATTATTCTTGAACATTAGAAAATATATTTGATCCTTTAATAATTTATTGTTTACACTAAACAACCATGTTGCAAACGAAACCATGCACAAAGTTCAAGTTAATATATAAAACCGGGTTTCGTGTTTTGTACGATGCAATTAGTTTCGGACTCTGAGGTTGCAAGATTAATATCTTGTTTTGCATCCCCTCTTTTCGGTTGAACGGGGGGGGGAGGGATTATTGAGAGCTTCAATTATCAAGGTGTGCAAAGTGCAAAATGTTTTTTTTTCTGAAAATACTGTCAACTAGTATAACTGGTGCCTTTTGTCACCGTTCCCAGGCTTGCGGAAGGCAGCTTTAATGCCGATTATTTTATCCAAATATTTTTATATTTACTTTTTTCGTCTAATTGTTAATATAACAATATGTTTAGAACTGGGTCGATTCTACATGGTATGGTTCTCTTATAGATCAACATATAAGTCCCAAACCCCCGGAACTGTTACCAAAAATCCTGGAAAAGTTACAAAACCCTTTGGACATGTTACAAACAATCCTGCCACTGTTAAAAACACAATTGGAACTGTTACAAAAACCCCTGGAATTGTTGCAACTTCCCCCGGAACAATTAAAAAAAGTCCTGAAACTGTTACCAAAGCCATTGTAATCAAATTCCCCGGAAATGTTACCAAAAGTCATGAAGTTACAAAACCCCTGGAAACTGTTGCCACTACCCCAGGATTTGTTACAATTAGTTCCGAAACTGTTACAAAAATCCTCGGAACTGTTACCAAAAGTCATGAAGTCACAAAACCCCTGGAAACTTTTGCCACTACCCCAGGATTTGTTACAATTAGTTCCGAAACTGTTACAAAAATCCTCGGAACTGTTACCAAAAGTCCTGAAACAATAACCCAAAACCCTGGAACGGTTGCCAAAAACCCTGGAACGGTTACAAAACGCACCGGTAATTTTAAACCAATTTTTAAATATCGAGAAAGCAATGCATTCAAAAGATTTAAAAAGATTTTGATTTTACTATAAACGTTAATAAATTTCTTTGTAATTTCTTTTAAAACACCAGAATTGATTTAATTAATATAAAAGATTTTTAGTTTGTACTTGTGATTATGATTTGACGCTAGTCTGTGGAGAAGATGGAAAAACCTACGACAATGAATGTTACGCAGGTAAATATATACAGAATGAGACTTCAAAGACGACATTAAGAAATCTTTTCTGTCTTGTTTTTTGAACTTGTGGTTCCCTGCATCTGTAAGAATTTAATTCTTACTATGCTAAAAACTGAATAAATTATATTCAAGGCAAGAGCCAAATTCAACTTTGAAATTTACAGGATTTATACTCATCATTCAAGTCTCGTCTTTTCTGGGAAACTCTGTGTGAACTGCATGCATACATACTTATTTTATCATAGTACTCAACAAAACACTGCAAATATGTAAATAATACCGAAATGTTTGTTGCTCTTAAAGTTTTTGCAATGTTGGAGCGAATTCAATTTGGTAAAAGACATTTTCAAAGTTTGAATAATTTCTTAATTCACTTTAAAAAATACAAACAGTAAAACACATTTGGAAAAAACCCTTAAAATTTACAACTGACTTAAAGAATTTTTATCAAAATAACTTTTACTTTTTAGAATGTAACTTTATAAAAGTTGCGAGCTGGGGCCCGTGCTAGAACAATGCGAAGGATGCAAAACAAAATGATAAAATTCAGAAAATTAAAGAAGATTAGATCAATAAAAAGCATTTCAACAATGTATATATTTATTTTAAAAGAGATATCTTGAGAATTTTAATACTTATTCTTTGCTAATACTTAAATATTTACAATTTGTCTAAAAAGATGATAAATAGCTGTTTATAGATTGTATAGCATTACACTTTTTTCTTCAATATTCATGAGATTTGATAAAAATTTTAGTTGTGGACTTTTAATTATCAATTAATATTAATACATGCGTGCTAATTTGTGGTCGTTTTATCAATTTTATCAAAAGCACTTCAAAATTACACTCAATTACAGCAGAATTTACAGATTTTGTTTGTTTTTTAAGTTGATGCCCACCAAGAGGCAACATTGACGGAATACAGAATAAGTTTAGTTGAATAATTTTCATTTATTTTTCTTAAAACTCAGATTTATCTGTCAACTGAACACTATAAAAAAGTTAATTACATTCTCTAAAAAATTCAGTGTTCAAGGAAATAAAGGTATTCACGGACAGAAATAGTCAAATTTTCATGATGTTTAATCTATATTTTTCTCACTGTTTATTTGTAGCTAAAGTTTTATCCCGTTTACATTACAGGAGACAAATTGCATCAAAGATTTTTTCAGCTCCTGGATGTTAGAATATTAAAATATAAATAGAACATACAAACAGGACAGACAACAAGATCTGTGGATGAAAGAGTGAGGGAACATATTGGTTACATTATAAAATCTCCATACAAACCAGCCTACAGGAGAACATTTTAACCTTCTTAGGCATGAACTCCTGTACAGAGAAGATTTGGGACCTTGGGAGAAGTTTACTTGAAGTTCAAGAATCTAAATACATCAGAGATTTTATGACTGAACTCAGAGGAATGACCGAAAAAAAATAGTTTTTACTTAATTTTAAACGTTAATTCAGTATTTATTTTTTAAAATAGTATTGTTTATGTCTTATTCTTTAAAAGGTTTAAATACCCCTCCTTAAACAAGCCGCCCCCCTCCCCCTGATTTACGTAAAAGTTCGTTAATTAGATCGACCCCCACCACCACTTTATATATATTCATATAAACAGTTTGTTTTTAATCTTGTCTTAAAACATTCTCTAAGAAGTGAATATTTGGAAATTATCTTTTTTATCTCTAATGTTAGTTTGTTTCCCTTCTGTCCATTTGACAGCCCATTTTTTTTAAATAATCTTTTTTGTTTGTTTATTTTATTGTGGTTTTTTAACATTTTTTATCATCGATTTTGATGGTTATTATATTGTAGAACTGACAAGGGTCAACCCGACAAGGGTCAACCCAGACAGAAATATATTTTCAATAAATGTGGAACTAACATCTACTTTTATTTACACTACAGAGGTTTGGTTCATCACCATCATCGAATTTAAATAGAACATACAACATGGTGAATAGATGTCAGAATATTATAATATAGATAGAACAGACAACAAAGTGCCAAGATGTCAGAATATTATAATTTAAATATAACAGACAACATAGTGCCCAGATATCAGATATTATAATATAAAACGAACAGACAACATAGTGCCTAGATATCAGAATATTATAATATAGATAGAACAGACAACATAGTGTCTAGATATCAGAATACTATAACATAAATAGAACAGACAACATAGTGCCTAGATTTCAGAATACTATAATAAAAATAGAAAACACAACATAGTGGATAGATATCAGAATATTATTATATAAATAGAACAGACAATATAGTGCCTAGATATCAGAATATTATAATATAAAAAGGATAGAGGATATAGTGCCAAGAGATCAGAATATTATAATATAAATAGAACAGACAACATGGTGCCTAGATATCAAAATATTATAATATAAACAGAACAGACAATATAGTGCCAAGAGATCAGAGAACAGAACACTATAATAATAAATAGAATGGACAACGTAGTGCTTGGATAGTATGCTAAATATAAAGTATGAAGTGCATTCTATTTTAATTATAATTTCTTAGCAGGTGTTGCGTGCAAACACAAAGTTCTATTTAATTTTGTTGATCTATAAAATACAGTTGACAAAGTTCAAATAAAATAAACAGATAATAAAATCTGTCAAAGGTTGAAATACATTTTATGGGCCTTAAGGGACTGTCAACGTAATTTCAAATGACTCCCTTAATTATTAAGTTTCTTGTTCGAATCACAACGGTACCAGGTGTGCACCGTTATCTGTTTTGAAACCTGAATTCTGAATGATTTAATTTCTTCTCTGTGCAAAAATCCACAAAAATCTAATTTTACAGAGAACCAAATATTATTAACTATCAGACAGAAAACAGAAATATATTCGCAATTTTTTGCTCTGATGAATGGTTAAAGGGCCGGTATCGTTAGAAATGTTTGTGTTTTGAGATTTAATATAATTATATTTTGAATGATTAAGTAAAAAACGATTCAATTATCTACAAATAGAAATACAAATAATACCTTCTGCGTCCTTACATTTGAGTTTTATAGTGTTCAAGATATCGCTTGCAATATATTATATCATAAGCATAGCATTTCATTTAAACATAAAAATATGTTCTTTAGATAGAGACTGAGCCCCCCATTAGCAAGTTGTCCCGCTTAAAGTCCCCNGTAAAAAGAAGTAAGGGAGCTGCTGGTCAAATTCATGTATACGCCCCTACACCTAAGTATTTTAACTGTTTGATAATATAGTTTTTGTATTGAGTTGAATTTTCAAGATAAGATTTAAAGGATTTGATGGAGCATAAACCTTGAGTAAATAGTAATATATGCATAGAATAATAACAACACAGATAGAAAACTAGATGTCATCTTTTCAAGATTTAGGATTTTTTCGTTTACTGTAACCCTGAGGCAGACGCCCAACGGAGTTACGCGCATGTCACGTTGAATTATAAGACAGAGAGAAAGCATTCGCGTACTTCATTTGGGCTTCTGCATTGTGAACAAAACCCCTAAATCTTGAAAAGACGACATCTAGTGTTCTATCTGTATTGTTATTGATCTATGTATATTATTATAAATATTTTGCGTACAAATTGTTTGTACAGCATGTATATTGTATATAAAGGGCCGGGTGTTCCAATAAATATGGGATTCAGTGACAACCTTCATCGAATTTGAACCACGCCGCGCTTCATCAATAACAGCTAATAATATATTAGTCTCGGGATTTCCAAAATGTGGTCTTACCTACAAAATTTATGGGGAAATTAGCAAATTTTACTAAATAAATTTATTAAAATATCTGATATCTCTGTAAATTTTGCAACGAACACACACTCATTGACATGTTCAAGTAAGTGTCCGAAATCAACGACGATATTCAAGTCGTCTCTTAATTCTTATCTATATCGGGACACCCTGTGTTGGCTTATACATTTAAATTATCACAAAAATTCTGAATTTTTTGTTGAACTGAAAACAATAAAAATGTGATCCCATGATATCAAAATATTAAAAACGAAACGAGAAAAGTTTAATACAGTCTATCCATCTCTAATAGTTCTCCTTAAATCTATTTAATTGAAATGTGTTGTTATCATTATTGAAATTAGGTGGAAAAAATAATCAAAACAGCCAAGAGCTATTTTCCACCTAATTGCTTTATACTTGTACTGTTAATATAATCATCAATTTGTAATTGTAAACTCGTTCTGTATACAGATACATGTATTTTAGCAATAAACTTTATCTATCTGTATACAGATACATGTATTTTAGCAATAAACGTTATCTATCTATCTATCTATCCATGTCCGATCATAACTCAAGAATCCCTTGACAGAGTTGCCTCAAATTTTCAATTAATAACTCATGAGAACCACGGGAATGTTCTTAGCCTGGTTTAAACATTTAAATTGAGTGGGTTGACTTTTATGAAAACTGCTGCAGGTTCTCATACGTTAGTATATGTGATAAAGTTCGCTCACATATTTATATATATTTAAATTTACATATATATATATATATATATTTATATATTTTGATTTATGTTAGTTATAGCTGGCTAAACGACTGGAACAAATTGTTTATAGATTTCTTTTCTACTTCTAGGCTTTCCTTTATTTCAAGCTCATTTTGTATTAACCCACAATATTCATATATCGTGTCATATTTTTATATTTGGTTTCAAATATGGTTTCGCGAGTTTCAGATTTAAACCTCTGCAAGATCAAAAAGCCAAAGTTCTGATTCTGATTTTCGTTCTCTCCTGATATTTCTAGTAAAATATGAGTTTTCTCCACCAGTAAATCTAAACAAAATATTGTTTTCTTAGAAATAATATTATAAAATTTTAGATTTACAGAAAACTATTAGAAATCTTAGATTTTCCAGATAACTATTGTAAATTCTAGCTTTCTTTGAAAATCTGTTTTAATATCAGTATTTTATCCTCATTAAATTTCACAAGATTTCTTTTATAATATCTTATTTTTCTCAATATCAATATTTTAAAAAAAATCATCTGTAAAGAAATCTTTTCTTTCTCCTGAACATTATTATCTTAGTTTTCCCTTGAAAATAATAAAAATCTTTGTAATATTATTATAAAACCTAGTTTTCTCTAAACACTGTTACAAATCTTAGTTTTCTCTGGAACATAATAAGAAAATATTAGTTTTCTCTGGAACATTATTATAAAATCTTAGTTTTCTCTGGAACATAATAAGAAAATATTAGTTTTCTCTGGAACATTATTATAAAATCTTAGTTTTCTCTGGAACATAATAAGAAAATATTAGTTTATAGTATTATACAATCTTTTTTTTCCAGAAGACTGTAACTTTGTTTTCTCTGGAACATTATACTAAATCTTAGTTTTCTTCGGAACATTTTTTAAAATCTAGAACACTGTAAAAAATCTTAACTTTCTCTGGATCACTGCAGTAACAAATCTGTATTAACTTTTAATATTTATATTTTATTTTCTACGAAAATTCATTTCAATCATAATGGGAAATTCCGGAGCAACAACACTTTAAAGAGTGGAAAAATAAAAATAAAAGAGAACCAATATGATTACAT